CAAGAAAAACGCGAAAGACAGTCGCTGTCCGTGACGTCATCGACGTATGTTTTGGCTTGCCAAGGCTAGGGAGGCGGGGCTTCAGCCCTATTTTCAAATTGCTCTTATGGCTCTCCGGCGCGTCGCATTGAAATATAATTTTGATATCTGTTTTTTCAAAGGTCAAATGAACGCAATTCAAGCGTTTTTTTCAAATGTAGAAGTGCCCCATCTTCCCTTTAAACAATAACCTAAACAAAATTTACAAGTGGTGCAGCGATTGGCAAATGACATTGAATGAAAACAAATGTGTGTGTATGACTATTTCACGTAAGAAACTCCGCCTTGACTTCAATTATGAGTTATCTGGTCACAAACTAAACAAGGTAACAACCTTCAAATATCTAGGCGTCATTTTTTCTTCTGAACTTAAATGGGACCTTCACATTGATTACATCGTAAAGAGAGCCGACAGGAAGTTATGGTTTCTGAAACGAACCTTGCCGGGTGCACCGCCTTCTACAAAATTGCTTGCTTATAAAACTTTAATCCGACCAATTCTTGAATATGCCAGCGTCGTTTGGGACCCCTTCACACAAAAGAACGTAAACAAACTAGAGATGATTCAGAGATAAGCTCTTAGGTTTATCTTTAACAAATTCGGAAGAAAGAACTCACCATCAAAATTAATGCTTCAAACGGATTTAACACCGCTGTCATCCAGAAGAAAGATAGCCCGGTTAAAAATGCTTTATCTAATCGTGAATGGAGCCATAAGAATACCTCGAGATAAATATATCGCTTTTTCCCAAAGGACCAACACTCGATTCACACACCCGAAAACAATTATTGAATGTCACTCTCGGGTAGATGCGTTTAAGTACTCTTTTTTTCCGCGTACTGTATCCGATTGGAACAAACTACCTCGAGATATAGTCAATTGTGAGTGTGTTTCCTCGTTTCTTGAGCAACTGTTATCAACTGTATAAATATGATTTTCTTTTTGCAATCGGCGCCTCGCTGTCAAAGGCGTTCCACTGTTAAAACTCTTGTGTCATATTTGCTACTGTCTGCAAGATAATATTTTATGTAATTGTTCATGTACTGCTATGTGTGTACTTGCCGACACACTGCTGTCAATTGTAGCTCAGAGTTTCTTTCGCGGCATTCTGGTGGCGGGGACCTACACTTACATTGCAAGCATCTTGTATAGTGCTTCATTCTTGTGCCACTCCTATTATAATCCATGTATTGGAATAATAGTATTGATAAATAAATAAAAATAAAAAATTACGGATGGCTTGCAAGTTTGTACTTGTTTGCCGAATAGGCTGTCTAATAAACTCCTAGGAGATTTCAAAACAATCCCGTATGTCCGTTTACCTGCCTTTTTTGCAAATACCGGGGCGCATAAATTTTTAAGGGTTTCCTTGATGTATTAAATAGGTGTATGAATCGGGTGTATAAAGTGGTGGGACGGTGCACCTTTTAATCGGGTGCACCTGTGTTCCTTTCGAATTCAGTGGGTGTAGAAAGAGGTGTAACAGCGCACCATTGAACGGGGTTCTCCTGTGTTCCCTTTGATGGCAGTAGGTGTAGAAAGGAAGGTAATTGTACACTATTGAGCAGTGTGCATCTGTGTTTCCTTTGAGTGAGGCGGGTTTATGAAGCGGTGCAATAATACACCTTCGAATAGGGTGCATCTGTGTTTCCTTTCATATCATTGGGTGTAGAAAGAGCTGTAGCCGTACACCATTGAATGGGGTGCACCTGTGTTCCCTTCCAGTGAGATTTGTGTAGAAAAAGGTGTACATGTGCACCACACCGACGAGTGTACACATACTCTCATCTTCGAGGTGTACAAATATTCCCCCAAAAGGTGGACAAGCACTTGCACCCCTATGGGTGTACATTACATGTACACCCATAGGGGTGCTATGGGTGTACATTACAGCCATTACACCCTTTTTTTTAAGTGTAGCAGCCGTGTGGCGCGTCGAACGACGGGAGGCGAGTCTCGGTGAGTGAGGGGGTGAGCGTACTGCTCGTGCAAGCAGCGTGTATCAGCAGTTCCGTAACTGAGCTAATCTAATAACGTTGAGCTACATCTACATAGCGTGCATTGCCGTTATATTATTTGCCATTATATACTACGTTCACCCTTAAGCTGAGACCGCAGCCATCCCCACAAGCACGAGAGCGCGAGGTCACTGCTTTGAAGCGTTTCCGCAGAACGAGCACTCGCGCAAGAAATGTACGTCTCAAAGCCAGGAGCCCGGTTTGACTCGCGCTTGTAGCTTTGGCTGCATTTTTAGCATAAAGGGATACTGAACCAAAGATTTTAGTGCCCACAATAAGTGGCGCACGTTCTTTTTGCACGAGCCAGCAGCCACCGGTGTGCGCGAGTACACGCAACGAAAATGACGTCAAAGACATCCATTCGCGCTTAAGAGGACAGCGAAATGCATGAGCTTGGGGCCGAAGGAGAATAAAAACAGGCTTTTCATCTCCACAAGTGAAAGCTACGTCCTTGTTACACCAATTATTCGCTTACCTTTTACACCAGACACCACTGTGCGGATGAAAAACTTGTCTTTAATCTCCTTTGGCCCGAAGCCCATACATTTCACTGTCATCTTAACCACGAATGAAGGTCTCTGACATTATTTTGGTTGCGTGTGCTCGCGCACACCGGCGGCTGCTGGCTCGTGGAAAGAACGTGCGCCACTTATTATGGACACTAAATTCCATGGTTCAGTATCATTTTTTAAGGGTGAACAGAGTAGTGGCCTTGGTGCTGAGCCTACAAAAATATGTATGGACGTCCTATGTCCATACTTTTGCCGTCCTGTTACCCCTTTGTTCATCCTATGGATTCCTGTAGACAGTTCTTAGACCGTCTATGTACCACTGGTTTGCCACAGAATGGAAACAACAACGCTATAGAGATCTTCGCGAAAGAAAAAGTTTTTCATTCCTTCCTATTTCCGTTCTATGGTCCTGGTGAGTCTATGAACATCCTATTGCCTCTCTATGGTGTGAGCTATATATTGGTACATTAATAAAGTGATGCCGGGTAGACGTTTTCTTTAGGTGTAGCGAGGTGTCCGAGCTACTGAGTTGTTAATTAAGTTCCGGTTATCAATATGTTACATTGATGTCTGGAGGCATATCCAACCTCAGGGTATATTCATTGTGGAGATGGAAGTGTTTAGTATGTGCCGGAATAATGTTTTTACTTTCTCAGTGGGAGGTAGATATATGTGGGTCGCTGCGGCCCCCGTAGATATTCGCAACTTCTACAACCCATAGGGGGCGCACTGGTGGCTACCAAAATAGCGGTCATCTGGATGATCGTCGTAAAACAGCGGTATACTAAACTGGGTCTGCGCGCGACGCGTAAGTAATTCTAGTTATGCTGTATACGCGCAGTACCAAAACATTACTTTATGTGTTTTTTTTTTCACGCCAGGAAAGTGTAGGCAAGCCATTTTATTATGAGGCCAGTCATCCAGGAGCTAGGGAGTGCGATTCTCACACCGCGGTACCACCATCGCTTAAAGTGGCTTCTCTATGGACCCCGTAGGGACTCCGTGCAGACCCTGTATGGCTTCTCTGCAGACTCCATAAGGAGCCCGTGTAGACCCTGTATGGCTTCCCTGTGGACCCTGTATGGCTTCCCTGTGAATCCCGTACGTACTCCCTATATAGACCTTGTATGGCTTCTTTGCAGACCCCTAAGGACCCTACACTCTTTAAAATGACTTTTACAGAGCACGTTTTTGCGTAAAAACAAATGGGAAAAAGCTCTTTTTGTAGAAAATTTTGTTGGAGATCAGTACAAAATGACAAGGGCATGATGTTTGCATACACTTTTAGCTTACAGGGTTTTTCGGCACAATTAATATTTTTGTTTTACAGCCATGCCTCACCGGCGACTTCAGATAGCGCGTCCCGACTTGGGTGCGTCCTAACTTCGGTTGCAATTCGCGGCGCGTCCACCTGGGAGACGGGGGTTGGCATCTCTGAAACCCCCCTTCTACCGTATATGTTTCGGCGCCAAAGTGGCCGATTAAAGCCAAAGCAGAACAGTCAAATGCTGTCGAATATCGATAGTCCCAAACTAGCACACGCGGCCGTGTAGTTATCCGAGTGGCTGCTGCGGGTGGAATGGTGGCGTTGCGATCGCAATTAGTTCGGTTTTCAAGTACAGATCGGTGCCGCTTTTTCAGAGAAAGCTCGTTAGCGTTTCCGAACTGACTTGCTCTAGAAACGTTGGTCGGTGCGGACCCTGTAGCAGACCCCCTGCAGACTGAGTGGCTTCTCTGCGGATCCTGTAGGGACTCCCTGTAGACCTTGTATGGCTTTTCTGCAGACCCCATGGGGACCCTGTGTAGACCTTGTATGGCTTCCCTGTGGACTCCCTAGGGACTTCTTGTAGACTTCGTATGGGTATTCTGCAGGCGCCCTATAGACACCGTAAAGACCTTGTGTAGACACCCTATAGAGTCCCTATGGACTCTATATGGCGTCTTACCATAGAGAGAGTATAGGATGACCACACAACGTCCATAGAATAGGACGTCCATAGAACGTCCGTTGGCCAATATTCTATAGGGCAGCCATTGGACGACTTCACGGAGGCAACAGAGGTTGTGGTCGGCCTATAGACGCCTTTTGTTCTGCCTATGGACGCTGCTCTATAGAACGTCCTAGAAGTGTCCATACATATTTTTGTAAGGGCGCGCGCCTGCTTTCTGCAGACCAATCTCGCCAGCTAGTTTGAGTACGCCACCGCTGCCGCCATGCATTGTGGAAGCCGTAGTCAGTGTGCACGTGCGACAACCCTTCTGCAGGTCTGCACGAGCAGAGCACGATGCGGCATGAGCTGTCTCGTGAACTGGCGTCTGCATCCTATGAACTACAGTTATGGCGGCGACACGCATGCGTGGAACGCTTAGTGAGATCGGTCTATTCGTTAATCTCGGTAAAAACCAGTAGATACTACCTTCAGCATGATGCTATGGCGTCACGTGCAAGTAAAATACTGCAACGTGAAAAAAAAAAAGCTTGTGCTGCTTACCAGGGTAGAAAGCGATTAAGATGAGGGAGGACGAAACAGCCTGGTCCGCCAACGCCTTTTGTACTGCCACCTTGGTGCCGCTGGACCTCAGAACGCGATCCAGGTAGCGGTACCAGAAGTGCAGGAAAGGCGCCGAGACGCTGGTGCCGAACACCGCGTAGCGTAGGAGCAGGTTCCAGTCGTACTCCTTGGGAGATTCGTCGCCACCGTAGCGGATCAGGATGGTCTGCTGCGAGAACTCGGCGCAGACGTAAAGGGCCGGAAATGAAACCATGTTCGCCAGGAGCGGTCGCTGCTTGAAGACGTCGAGGCATCGTCGAATGAGGGACGCGATCGTGCTCATTTCGAACGTGCGCGGTGGTCCCGCTTCGTTGACGGGTGTCGTGGCGGAGCGTCGGATGTGGTGTGCGTCAAAGTCGAAGAGCGTTGCGATGGATAATGAGGCGTAGGACTGAGAAAAAGAACGGAGCTGCGTGCAGAACAGATGACCTCAGAGTAAGTCAGAGGCCGCCAACAGAAACCGTGGGTGTTGTTATGTTGGCGATCTTTTCAGTGATTGGGATGCCGCTTTTTTGTGGGCTTCTCTAAAACGTTGTACGATAATAATAATAATAATAATAATAATAATAATAATAATAATAATAATAATAATAATAATAATAATAATAATAATAATAATAATAATAATTATTATTATTATTATTATTATTATTATTATTATTATTATTTGCATACAGAAATGTGATCCTGGGTGGCGTGCAGGGCTGTGCAGAAAGGTTAAAACCCGCACGCGAGTGCGTCTGTCGGCCCGCCACGCGGGATTGGAATTGAAAAAAAAGAAAAAAAGTAGGAATATGACGAGAAAAAGAAAATACAAATTTGTACGCAAGGCCATAACCCAGGATGTTTTAAAAGAAAAAGGAGGGTGAAATGTTGAGTGTAAGGTTACTCCCACATATATCTATACGAACACACACACGCACAAACACACACACACACACGCACACACACACACGCACACACTCACACACACACACTTACAAACTATACCACTGTTATGACGCCTGCTGCTGTAGATGATTTGAGAACAAGCGACACATTGCCACAGTTTCGGTTCGCTCCTCGGGAAGTGGCGAACGTATCGTGAGTGGGGCCGTGTTTAAGTCCTCGATGCCGGCCAAGATCGGCGAGGAACCGTGGCGTTTGGTACGCGCTAAAATAAGTTCAGGCTGCCCCGATCTCTTGCTACACTCTAAAAAAAAAAGGTGTCAAGGGAGAGTAAGTGCCCTAACTTACTCTCCTTTAACTCTATCTGCATGGAAGTTACTCTTTCCCGACCGCTTCTTTCGATGATACTCTAACTTAACCCTCCCTCGACCTCGAGAGTAACTGTAACGAGAGTTAGTTTCTCCTCGCGATATCACGGGCTGTCGATAGATGGCGCCGCTATGGGTTCGGCGCAAGTTCGACGCTGTTCGGCGCAGGTATTTTTTTTCGTTTTCTCGGGGAAACCTTTTTTTTTCCTATCCGCTTTTCTTTTTTTCTTTTTTTTTTCTTCTTCTTTTTTCTCTTTTTTTTTTTTGGGGGGGGGGGGGGGGAGATGGGCAAGGATGTTTTAATAAATGAGTTGGTACAGCCTGCCTTGACGGGTTTATATTTCAGTATTTATTAACTTAATTATTACCTGCGCCAGGAAGATCATTGGAGCGGTGGACACTCCTTTATCCAAGCAATAGGCAATTAATGCTTTTGCTACACAGATATATTAAACAATAAACATATAGATCAGTGTGTAAACGGGTGTATGAGCGGATGCTGACGCGCGTGTGCGATTATGTTTCGTTACATAAGTGCCTAGGGTTGTTATGTAGCCCAGGGATGTTTTTGGGGCATTGTTATATTTTTGGGGGGTCGTTTCAAGTTACTGCTGAGCCCGACCTCACTGATCGTAGGAACAGGTATATGTATAAAAAAAGTATTTTTTCCACATTCGCATTAAAAGCAAGCAAAGAGGAAAACCTCCCTCCGCGACAGAAGAGGTCGGCTTCGCGCGGTCTATTGCATACGCCACGTGACGACCATTTCATAAAGCGTCGCCCTAAACACGGCGTTCGTTTCGAAGCCATGTATAGGTTCAAAAAACCTATACATGGCGGCAAGCCAGGTTTATGGTACGTGACACTAGGGGCTCCCTTATTTTCACCGCCGTGGAGAAAATAAACGACGGAGCCAGAGCGTTTGGAAAAGTTGTTAGCGATGATTTCCAAACTTGTTATGCGGTCTTTGTTTTGAGTCATTAGATAAACTTGGCTTGACTACTACCTTTTTTTTTCAATATTTACATTTTACTTTCCGAAGCGCGGGAGTCGATTAGTCTTCTGCTCTGTTCAAGAAAAGCTCTGGGGGGTTAAACCTTTAACTCTGCACAGTTGGCTACATCCTTTAACTGTTTTAACCTCGCTCTCCGAAGCTCCCTTGACAGGATGGTTTTCGATATAAGGGAACATTCAAGATCGCTGCTCTTTTCCGCTGTTCATCAAACAGTTCCTAATGTACAGCGGAAGCACCGTGTAGCATTCCGGATATCGATATTTGTGGTACGGATCTCACTGGCTTTAAATATATATACATTAGTGTGTATTACAGAAGTCTTATTTCGCTGTCCAACAGAGCCACATTTAAACTGCCATTGACGGGTTCACCTTACGTTCAGTTGGTTCTACACAGCAAGCGATAGCTCAATTATTTTGGGAAGAACGTAGACTGCTCTATGTCGCCCTACGATATGTTAAAAAGTATGCTAAGCTTCTTAGGTTCGATGCCCCCGAGGTACGAAACACGGGCGACAGAAGCTCAGTTAAAATGAATGAGCGAAAATGTCTGTTCTGTAAGTAGTGGTAGCTTCCTCCATCTAGCATGGCCTTTGAAAAAGCCTGTGTCTAGAGTGCCGTGGTACTCTTGCCAAGCGTTCAAGTGTCCACGTCCGATGGCACTCTAAGCACGCATTGGAGTGCCGTCCGAATGCCCTAAATGGGTTGTACAGAAGACGTGGGTCAGCGCGTCCCGAGAAGCAGAGCCTGCCGCATCCGTGAGCTAAAGAAATCCGATTCACAAAAAATTTTTCACCATCGAAGTGCTTCGGAAGTAAGGGAAGTGTCGCAAGCGGAAATTTAGAGGACCCAGAGGAAATTAGAGAGTAAATAAATTTAGAGGAATTTAGAGGACCCAGAGGAAATTAGAGAGTAAATAAATTTAGAGGAATTTAGAGGACCCAGAGGAAATTAGAGAGTAAATAAATTTAGAGGAATTTAGAAGATAAATAAATCTGTATTTTAGAGACAGCCAAATTTACTTATAAGCTTGGTCTTGGTACCAATCCTGCCAGCTGAAAGTCATGATGTGGAAAGATTGTGAACTTTAATTTGGTCTCCTGTGTTTGTTAGTTACCGAATCGACAACAAACCAGCACCGACCAACCAGCTCTTTTACGACGCAAATATTTTCACGAAAAAACTTTAAAAAAAACTTCGGAAAAACAAATAAATAAACACAAAAAAGATAGTGTGGAATGGGCATGCTGCGGACACTAAAGCTCGTTAATATTTTTTTCTTATTTTTTTTGTTTTGTTTTTTTGTTTGTATGGAGCATTAGTGCAAGCTGGGTGCAAGGTGCGCAAGGAACGAGCGAGGCGCCCGTTGAGTCCGGATTCCCTGGATTACCGCCTTCGGAAGCACACGCTGTCCTCAGTTGCCACACAAAGCCTTTAGTCATGGATCGGGGACTTTATCCCCCGTAAGCTGACAGCGCGGTGGAAACTGCGTGCTTGTTAGACCGTTTGACTGTCAGTCTCGCACCACGTGATCACCCCTTCTCCGCATACACACGCGAGGCGAGCGAAATCAAGCGATAGGAGTCAGGCCACTGAATGGTTGGCTAACGCTTAGCTTCACCGCATTGTCAACTTAGAGATGAACGAAATAAGAGCTCACCTCTACAATCAATTTCCGGCCTGTTATCGCCTGACATCACTTTCTGCGCGCGAAACCTCCAACCTTGAAAGCAACAAGATCGTTTTGCCCACGAGCAAGCTTCCCGGAACTTTAGAACGGATGCCTTGCGAACGATGGGGCCTAGGAAGAGTAGCGCTGCCATAATTTTTTTTTTTATTCTGTTTTTGATTTTACGAACGGTTTAGGAATATATGACCGAATACCGTTTTGGCATCTCCACAGAGCTTAGATTTAGTGACACTATGAATGTGTCATTGATAGTAGGTATTCCATGCGCAATTATGCATAAATATATAGGACAACGATAATTTATTTGTTATGTTTGTGAACACGGAAAATACATAAATGAATGAATTAATATATTTATAAAATTATCTGTTTCACATTTTTTCTCAAGAAGGTCTTTCTCGCGCGCTTCATGGGTAACAACACAATCATTTAAGTACTGACGTGTGCACTTATACGGCAGATTTTTTTTTTTTTTTTTATACAGAAGAACGTTACGTTAATTTACCTTAATTACTTTTCTCGATTAAATTTTCCCTATAATAAGGGACGTGCTTAAATGCATATGTGCTTCTGTGCAACCCTGCTGTCATTGCTGCCAAAAAAAAAAAAAAAAAGCAAACATCTTTTTGATAGGACAGGTCAGGAGTGCTTTTATATTATAAATTTGAAATAAACAGCCGTGCCAAAATCACCGGTGCATTTCCAATGAGAGGGGCCGCCATCCCGTGCTCGCCTGGCGTATAAATGATCAGTGACTCGTCATTCGTAATCTATAGATAGTATTTCGGATGAAAACATTATTTCAAAGCAAATGAGGGCGAAATTACAGTTGATGTGCCATAGTGAATCGTTAATTAAACAAGAGTCCCACCTACACCAAATCTATGACGTCGCGCTTAGGCGATGGTACAGCCTGTTGAACGGAGCATGGCCGAACGCTTCACACTTCGGAAAATGGGTACATGCAGCGCGTCGTACGCGGAGCTCTTGTGTGCAAACGCGTGCTTGTTTACACGCAATGAGTTGGTGTACACTCGATTCAAAGGTCAAACTGTTCGTGAGAGATTATTCGGCGTGAACTCGGTCCGCCTTTCAAGATTTGCGACACTGGTTCACGCTGTACATGAGACACGAGTAGCTAGTGCAGCACGACCGCTAACCTGAGGTCGTTAACGTGCATCACGCGCTATACTTAGTTTCACCTCCGAATGAACCGCAGATGCTGTTTCAGTGCTTGTGCACCCGCGAGCGCTCGTGTGCCCGCCGAGGCGTCATCCAAAACAATTAGCTCGCGCTTTTAGCACGTGTGACCAACAATGGTCC